GACGATCCACGTGCGTTTGCGTATACGCGAAAGCGAGACAATAACGAACTTAGCCATAGACGCTTCGTTTTCACATCGACTCCGAACCAGTTCAGGTGTTTTCTGCGAGTTTGTGTGTCAACTCTAGTAAATACGACTTCTTTCACATGCTTTTTGTTGTTGCAATCTGCGAAAGAGGCAATTCATCAGCAACTGCTGACCCAGCCCAATCCGAAGGCCTATTTTACACCACGGGGACCGTCTAATTTACTCGGATGTGCGCTTCGCGATTCAGGGGTTTTTTAGCTACGCAGAAGCACCATCTCCGGCAATGCGCAGAATAGTCTTTAATGGTACTGTTGACTCTAAATGAGAATGAGTGGTTTTCCCGCTTGCCCGTTCGACTCCCGATGTGTGAAATAGCATCCAGTTTCTTCAAAAGCGGGTTCTAACGATCCTCGTCATCGTAGTAGGAACAAGATGTGGTCTACAAGTTGAAAATGGCGAGCCGTTTCTGTTTAACGCACTCGCCTATTGATGACATCTTCATCTCCATAGACCGCGCAAGTTTGTACAGTCACACGGGGATTGACCTCTGGAAGCAGGTGATTCACATCAAATTGTAGTATTCGCTTAGATCAAATATTCTGCTCTCCTGACAAAGTCCCTAACAATGTGGCAAGTAAGCTTTAGTTGTAGTGAAATCGAACGATCAACTCGGAAAAAAAAACATTCTGATTGCGGGTGGTAATCGTGGGATTCGGTGTGAATAGGTGGATCACTTATTAGGTTTGTCCTTGCACCGATTTTGTGTGTGTGTGTGTGTGTGTGTGTGTACTTTTGTGCCTGAATACCGATGGGAACGAGTCAGCCACTATTGAAAGCGTGCTAGTGTAGTCCACGCAGTTTTCATGGAATCGGTAATTCACCATAAATTCAACAATCATTTCTCTCTATAGGTTGAGCTTAAGCGACGTAAATTGGTCTACCCCGCTAACTTTTGACCTTAAAATCAAGAAACTTTATGCGGCCGCTCCCTAATCTGGCTTATTTTTGCCCAGCCATACCACGAATAAGGAAGTTGAAAGCGTCTTTTCCCAAGCCACCCACGCCCCTACGTCATTCGACCGTGTGCTGTCGATGTTTTCTCTGGTTTTCTTGTCACGAGACCGCGCTGGCGGACAGATTGCTGATTTTGCTAAACACTGCTTTCAGAGGGGGAGCTGTGGGGAGTCTGTTCTGTAATTAAAGAGGAGAACGGGGAGGCAGTGGTGGTTCACTCTCGTTCCACCTAACCCGTCAGGGCTGGCGAGTCAATCTGCTATTCCCCACCCCAACTCCTGTCAAGCACGCCAACTTGACAATCGTCGAAGATGTCTTCACCACATACTTCATTCTACGGTTCCTGGTCTGTAATTACGTGCCTGTGTTGAACGCAGATATCGCAGATCGCATCCGATCGAACCAATCACTTGTGTTGTTCTGGCCGAGTAGGCATAGTACACGGCATATCTGTTCCTGTTACCGTGCCTGATGCAAAACTCCGAGTGCGATTGGTCGATTACCTGTTGACATCTCCACCCTTTCAATTAACCCCATCTATATACGACGGAGGCGGCCTTGGTTGCGGGTAAGGGAGTTCGAACACTCAAGGGTAAATGGACCAATAGGAGGAAGGCGGGGGATATGAATACGGACGTTGGTGTGTATTAAACACAGTTTATGCTGCAAAACACAAAATTGTACAAATTTGGACAAATGCTGTTTGGGGTTTGCTGAATCCCCCATAGTCCCCACGTAACCAATGGCGACGCAAAGAAGGGGGGCAGGCGGAACAGACAGGCTGAGGGAGTGGGGGATGGACTAGCGGGGTGTTTGGTAGTGTTTGGCTGCGACTGATGGACGTGAATTATTGAGGCACATGTCTGTCCAGAATTAATGGACAGGAGGGAGCAATTCGTCACTGTGACGTCCAGTAGTTGGTGCGTCGTCGTGATGACGCCGTACATCTCGCTTGGTTGTCATCCCTTTATCCCAGTCTTAAACCCCCTAACTCAACCCCATTTCCAATGGCTTAATTGCACGAAATGCCGATATCGACCGGGCTTGTGGTTGGTTTGTTGACTCGTGTGGTTGTCTTTGTTCACTGCATCGCATCTGCTGTTGTGTCTTAAAGCAAGAATTGCCAGAAACCCGGTGGAATTTGTGGCATGAACTGTTGGTGCACTGGAGCTGTGACAATGTTGCCCGAAGTTAGACCAGTCGTCTAGTCAACTATTTCTGCTGTCGCTCGCACTAAAATGTAGCCAAATGTCGAAACACAAGTCCCAAGCTCCCTTGAGAATGTGTTAACCATGTGTCAGGAAGTCTGGAAATCCAGCCGAGACGTCCAGAATGCACGAGAACGATCGGCGTTCGTAGGAATCAACCAAGATATCTCAGGCTTCCTGGTACGGTGAGAATGGGTCGTTGGGCACCCTCCAAGAAAACGCGCCTCGGCTAGCTTAAAACGAGACCAAGTCCACTCTAGACATAACCGCCTGCCTTTGTGCCCCTGTAGACTGCTTCTGGCTGGTGAAGGCCGTGCTTGACTTCGTGACAAGCGGACGTGTTGGTGAGCCTCTGGCCTCTGCTCTGGAGCCTTCTTCAAACGTCCCCGCTTTCTCCGATTACCAACGCAACAGCCTTCTGAAACGCCTTCCAGGTATGCATACAACGCAAGCCTTGTTGCCATTTCCTTGTTCTTGTGTGTATCGTTCAGAACTGACATCCTAGCAACTCAAGTTTTTCAAAGTGCAGGTTTGGGGCCCCTAGACAGAAACCATGCTCTTCGTGGTCAATAGCGTCTACTTCACAGCACTCAGAGGGGTGGAAATGGTGGGCTTCTTCCACCGAATTCGCACATCCCTTTGACACACGCTTAGCTTCACAATTTCCCAATCAAACTAGAATCTGCCGTAGAATCTGTGGGTTCACACCTGACTAGACGTTTGGTCAAAGTAGGGTCATAGCCATCCTCCTTGCTTGCGTCGATAGGTTGAGCTATTCATGTGCCGATTAAATTAATCCAACTTGGTAGCCAGAGCAGAGTGACGTTAAAGTTGGTTGGTGCCCGAGAATTGCTGTCTACAGGTCAACCCATTTGGGCTGTACGTCGTCTACAAAGGGGTGTCGCTCGATACCGGGATTCGTGTCTGCTAGAAGGAATCTAACGCACAGCTCCCATTCCTCCACATTCAACCCCAGAACAGTCCCCCCTGTGCTCACCTTGTCTGTTGGTCCCTGCCAACACATTGCCCAGTTTTGGGTAATCTGTGAGTGGCTCCTGGCAAGTTATTCTCGTCTTGGAAGGCCGTAGCTGTTGTCGCATTGTTAGATTCACGCACAGTTTACTTGCGTTCACCCAATTCCAGGAATGACGCTCGATTGCAATCTGCTTGAATTCTCCCTACTTCAACACAATGTCGTGTCTTCCAAATGAGCTGCTTTTTCTGTCGTGTCGATTGCTCTGCTAAATAAGTTTTATTTCCAACCTCGGGCACTTGAGTGGTTGAATGTGGACCCGCGAAAGGGATTTTTAGTAGCACTTGCATCTCGTAGAAGTACTTCACCTGATCTCCGAGCATGAAAGATGATGTAGGTAACCAAGGGTTCAGCAAATCAACGGTTTCCGTGGGCGTCTTCTCTAATCCCCCTTCTGGACGTCCTAACGTGACCTCACAGTTATTCAAAATCCCTTCCTGTGGCTTTTTATCCTAGTTTTTGCTAGTCAGCTGATCGCCAGGGAGCACTTTGCCTGCCTACACTTTCTCTTTACTTGTATTTAGACTCCCGCCTTGAAGCCTTCAGCCGAGTTATTCGACACCAGGGCAGTGATTCCAGGCCTCCGGTCTACCGGCGTCTACCCCCCTGCCAGACCACCCCACCCAGGGCACTTGTTGCTCCCGTTTCAATCGATAGGGAGGTGTAAGTTACTTTCCTAACCCTCTATCGTCCGCCACCACAACCTCAGCCCGCACTCGTAGTCCACGTGTGACCCTGTGTTTTTTTATCCTACCAACATGCCTCTCTCTCTATTCGCGCTCACCACGTTGCACCCAATTTTCTGATGTGTTTTGCTGGGCGGGGTTTTCCTGTCAAGTTTTGCACACCCGCCACACCCTCTGGCCGTCATTTGCCTCCTCATTCGGAATATATTTAGGGCGTGTGTGTGTGGTTGTGTGCGTGTGTAGCGGGAAGAAGGGGTGTGGTGTTTGGAGTGTGGTCGGAGGTTCTCAGCCAAGTGTGCGCTTCAGTGATGCGCGTCGTCTGGCCACTCTGCAATTGCCAAAACCCTGCTCATCTCATCGCGACCCAACTCTCCCCGACTGCAAAATGTTGCGGCTCACGTCAGTTACGAAACAAGATGTGCAAGTCCATCTTACCCTAATTTAAATCGCGTTCAAGCGGTTAGGAATGAAAAGGTTGGCAAAAAGCTGAAAAAATTGATTTCCGCCTTCAATCTAGTATCGAATGTAGTGGATTCTGCAAAGACCCGAGTTTCCACAGAAAACTAACTCGAAAAGTTGGGGTTATGTGCACATTTTCTCGCGAGAGGCAAGATCAGGGTTGATCTTTGGCACTTGAACACTGCGATCACCCAGGCAACCCAGCGACACGTTCGTGTTGCCAGCGTCCAACATGTGCCAGGGTCTGTTAATCGTTCTATTCGTTTGTCCAGCTTTGAAGTCAGATCTTTCAAGTAAAATTGGCCTTTCTGGTAATAATTAGACATCGATTTGGATCAAACGGTAGACCATTCGCGTGCCTTTTAATGGAGATTATTGTTGGAGCTGTGACACTTCGATGACACTCTTGTGGGCCCCAGCATGCGGTCTTGAACCACGCCGGGGCCACGGAATTAACCCTGGTCCGATTAAGCTTGCCTAACACCCGCGGTGAAGAAGAAGATAGGAGAGGACGTGGACACAACCGTTTACTTCAGAGCTCAAACACGTTGGTGTCGTTGTGTCGTGCGTGACGTTTGAGGGTGTGTATTTAAACCTCGGATGTGTGAGTCATACATGCGCTAACATCGAGACCTAGGTGTGAGGATAATCCAAGATAAATATCCGTGCGAATGAGGGGGAGTTGAGGGTCCGCGCGGCTGGCGACATGCTGCGAAAAGGTGAATCCTGTCGGAGTTGGAGCGACCGGATTAAGGGGTGTGGATAAACACGAGTCACAGCAACAGTTTGTTACTCTGCTCTTTAAACGAATCGCCATTGGAGTTGGCTGTGTTGTAACAAATTCTTCATGTCCACTTTAAGGAGGTCAGGCAGCAGCCCCACGGCGAATACATCAAGAGAATGTGGTGGGTGATGCAGGCATTTCATAACCTAACCGCTTAAAGTACCTAAGGTTAACAGTTGGCGTTGAAAATTCTTGGGAAATATTTAGACAATATCCTTAAAAGTCCCTTTTTGTCATTCCGTAGGTGATCTTTTGATTCTTGCTTTGGAGTTTAATGACCAAATTTGAGGAATTTATGCTTCCCTATGACTCAGTGACAAGGTGCGTTTGCGGAAGGGAGATTGAGGGAGATTTCCCAGGAGGAAATAGCGAACAAGTTGTTCCCGCCGTGGGAGATGTTACCCCTAGCCCGACTCCCACACACTCCCACGCGCTGTCCAGATGCTCTGGTCAAAGATAACAGACATTTCCTCCCCGTTTCTCTTAGGATCTGTTCTAAAAGGGTGTGCGTACCGCCGTTGTTTCAGGTGACCGTTTCGCAGTGATTTGTGGTAAAGCTTTTTTTCACTGTGTGGTGCTGCAGTGGCTGAGGTTCAGGATTTAGATCCACGTCCGAGGTAGTTGGTCTGAATTCGCCAATTCTGCCTTTCCTTTCAGCGTCTACCAACCTCAGCAGCTTCGACTGCGTCCGCCACCTCTTGAGCCTCGTAAACCGATTTCACGGGAATTCTGGTGCCCACCCAACCGCCCTCTCAACGTTTCTGCGTCAATCCATGACAGCTTTCTCGCCCTCCAGTTCAACCCGTATGCGCGTCTCGTGAGGGAGTATTTCTGGTTCCTGATTCTCGCCTGCTGCCTCGTTCTCCTGCTCCTCAACCTCCGATGCATTCTGGAGTTCTTGACTTTCAGAAGCACCACTCGGTGTTTGCGTGATGTCTACCGCTGTCTTCGTGGACGTCCACGGGTTGCGGTGGGCGACGTCAAAGACGACGAGGGCTTCTTATTTCTTAGGAGTGTTGGGCGGCACCAAGATCGGCAGCCAATTGCGGAGACGGTCCTCACGACTCTCCCGCTTCAGTCCCTGCGTGCCTCTCGTTGAAGTCTTTCATGTCTTGTGTTTTAAGCGTCATTTTTTTTGCAATAAAACTGCCTTTTTTTTAATAAATACTGACTTCTTACTGCATGTTCAAATGATTAAATAAAAATTGGGGTCATTGAAATAGTTAACAGACCTTGTGGCCTGCGAGATTCGTTACACAGAAGACATCGGGAATCATGCAAACACGGTACCACAATGGCTGTCTTGACAAGGCGTCCAAGGAATCTTAGTCGTTTCATGTGTTTGAGTCGGCTTCAGGGGCTACACCACTGGCTGTGGTGAGAGAAGACTGTGACTGGAGATGTTGCAGAGGGGTTTTGAACTATGTGCATGCTTCGTCTTGTGTCGTGTACCTGATCTGGTTCACAGCTCGTTTCGCTCCAGAAATTGTGCTTCATAGTACCGGGACTCTGAGATTATTGAGGTTGAATACTCGGCGTAGGAGCTTCCGTTAATTAGTTTTGCTGAGTTTGTGGGGAGGGGGTGGCTGTGGCCAACAAGTAGGTGAGTTGGCCTATGCATCAAAACAGGGCATCATGTTTGTTTGCTTCGCACCCCTCTTCTGCATCGTCTTCGTGCGAAGTCGTTCAATGATGCAGCATCTCAAATTTTGACCTGGAGTAATAGGCAGACGCTCCAGATCCCCACCTGAAATTTCTGTCACCACGAAGGCTACTCCTTCAAAAGTGCCTCGAAAGCATTTGGAATGTAGCGAATAAGGAGTCGTAGAAGCGGTCTTGCTTTAAAAATGCTTGTTTCGGATCTAATTCGAAATTACTATGGTTTATAACACCTTCACGGCAAATATTGGAAATATTGAAGCAACATGTAGCTGGTATATCGAAGTGGAGGCTTCAATTTCCGTGGGATCCGTAGTGACTTGAGAGCTTCCAACGCAGTTCCAAATACCATGGTCCCTATCATGGAAGATCTGTCAAGCTGCTGATATCTTCGCACTGACATAATCAAGTTGAGAAGCAGGTGCGTTATAATATTCCCCGAAAGACTTAAACAGCGGTTTTTTGAATTTGTAAGCAGAACTCATTTCCGCCATGACTATGCGCGTATTTTGATTGGACATGCACATTTTACCCCACCTGTTTAGCATCGTAACTTAATGTGTAAGGGGATTTCAGTGGCTTGCAAATCTACGAATGAACAACCCGAGAACAGAGGCCGTTTATTGGTATCACATCAGCCGAGTGTAGTCATGGTGTGCGGATGAGTGAGCGCGCGCGTAACATGGGACTGATAACAGTAACAAATGCATAACAGGGGTGAGTCATTAAAATCAATAATTCCGCACACAAGTTTGACGCTCGTGCGATCACTGACAGTTCACTACGGACTCATTTCTGTTTGTCAACGCACGCGCATTTTGATTGGACCGGGAGATTTTACTCCGCCCGTTTAGCGACACGATGGCGTCATAATTTACTGTGCCTTAGTAACAACGCGTATGCACTGACCCAACTTCAAAGTCTAGCATAGATAGGTCAGTAGTACTACCCTTATTCGAAACGAAGGCAAGCTGACGTTTTTGAAAGATTTAAAGGACGATCGTGTTTGCAGCTGAAGGGCACGTTTAGCAGCCGGGATTTCGGTGTAATATCAAAAATGTGGCATTTCTGACCAAGCATTTAGTTGAATTAATTGTCAGTTCACCCAATGGAGTTATCCTCTAGGTGACAAAGTCAACTTCAGAAAAACATGAAGCAGCTGTGTGCACGCTAATTAGCGAAAGCTGGTTATGCTACAGGCCTAGCTCTTGCAACACATGAACAGATCTTGCGCAAAGGTATCAGCGTGTGCCATAACACGGCCTTGCTCGTTAACAGAGATACAGCAATCCAATCTATGCACCCCGTGTGTGCTTGTGGTGTTGGTGCCTTGGAGTATGCGAGTCTTTGAAAATCCGATTTTTGTGCAGAAAATGGACGTGCCACTTTTCCTTCAGCAAGTCATAGAGGAAAGTCCACGACAACTCCTTACTGACAGCAGTGTCTTTTTACTCAAATATAGTCAAAAATTCCACAAAATAAAGTGAATCGACGAAGGATTCTCAGGTGCCTGCCTGGGATTTGATTGAATTGGATTCCGTGATGGCTTGGTAGACTTCAAAGGCTAGTTCAGTTTTTTACATGTGTATACACCTTCATACCATTGGCTAATTCGTTGATTTCAATTAATTAGGAAACCAACTTAATGGTGATGGTGGCTTAAGGCAAAGTCGTGGCCGTGACCAGGATGCCAATTATTCGTTACCATCAAACGAAGGCCAGAGTAAGGCGGACAAAACCGTCTGTTCGTCCCAGTGGACATGATGACTCCTTTGTGGGCCCCGGAATGTGTTCTTGAACCAACCGGAGAAGGCATTTAGAAAAAAACAGAGGTCTCAGGCACGACCGTTTACCACACAACTCAGCCTCGTTCTATTGGATGAATGCGTGCGCTCGCAGCAGTGCATGCTTATAATGCAGTCATTGACCAATAGCGTGGCTGAACTAGTTAACGCACAAATAACTGAATGTTCAGAGGGGTTCGACAGATTGCCGGAAAGTACAAGCACTCAAGTGTGTGAGAGCACATGTTCAGTCCATGGCTGAAGTGCAGCAACCGGATTAATGGACGTGAATCACCTCAATTCACTGCAAGTCATTGTGCGAGTATGCGCGAGTAGCAAGCTCATTAATCGTTAAAATTTAAACGATCCAAGTGGGGTAGATTCGGTGTCAGGTGGAATTCCCACAAAACCCAAGACATTGGAACGCATCGATCAATGTCTGGTGTAGACAACTGGTAACTTTCCTCCACAAGTGTTTCAGGCGTTGTGATGGCGCACCATTAGTAATTGTTTTTTTTTTAAAAAACGCGCTTTAGAAGTAGCATTAAAGTTAACATATCAAAAGAAAGCAATTTTTACGGGCAGTAGTACACGAGAGTAAGTTAAAACACAAGTAATTACTCATCTTACTGGGTGTAATATAGGGTATTTAAGCAGTCACCCATATGGGATGTTCTGAGTGATTAATTTTACCTGTAATTGCGCACTTCGGACAGTAAAATCACCCAAATGGCTAAAGTACAATCAAGTAGGGTACATCCACTCGTCATAGCTGTTCTGCACTTCACAACTGGCATTTTCCCAGCTTCCATAAACAAGCCTCACAAGTGGCATTTGCAACAAAAAATTAACTCATCTGATATATATTGCATCTCGTTTGAATGTCTTCACATGATATTAACAATATAATGTACATGGTGTTCTTGAGAGGTCAAAATAGCTCAATTTAGCTGGCAGTGTTACTGCAATTCTTAGTCACCACGCTTTCCACGTCTTTCTCCTCCTCCTCGTCCTCCCCATCTTCGTCTTCGATTATTGATCCGCAGGCGAGGAGATCCCTGATGCTGACGCCAGGAGGAGCCTTTGACTGACGTCTGAGTTCTTGTTCCACAAGGTCCCGCTGTGATTGGAAGTCTTCAAGGTCAACGTCACCGGAGTCTCCCTGTGGCAGTTTGCTATCGTCGGTGTCGTTTATCGGCATTGACTTCCGATACATGTAGCCGTGCTGAGGAAGCAGAGATAACCTCACGGTCAGGAGAAACTACCAATTACCTATGATTGCACTTAAATTACAGAGTAACTAGGCGGACCTTGAAATAGAGAGAGAGAGGTTAATTTGAAGAATGATTTATGGTAGTTTAAATGGATTCCACTGGGTGATCACACTCCACCACAATTTACTTCCACTTGAGGGCTAATGGGCAACAAATCAATGCAAACCTATGATTGGTGGTTGTCAATTAAAGCGCCGTCACTAAGCCAATCACAATTTGCAGGATTTTGCCACTAGATCGCGCTACAACTCGCTATTAAACGAATTACATCAATTCATCTGTGTGCGTACAAATCCCCCTTACACGTCTGAAACTTAAAAAATGCATGACCTTTTGTATACATGGACGAATAACTTAGTTGAGCAGAGCATTAAACAGTTGTCTAAAGGTGGTGGCAGCTGTGTAGGTTCAAGATTCGAACCGGAGCTTCCACAATGTCCATGTTTTGTGCGTCGCTTTCCCACACCATGATCAATTAACCAATCATAGCGCAGATCAATGGCGCATAAATTGAAACCCCAAACGCGTGCAATGTGCTTCAAATTATGATCGATAATTTGAATCAATGATGACAATTGACGTAGTAATGCTGAATCACCATTGGATGGTAAGAGGCCATCAGCGAAATTTGAAATCTGCGGTTGGCAGCGAGCTCCTCCATGATACCGCGAAGGTCAAAATTAGATCCCCCTCTACTCGGTTATCTGTTATCGAACTCTTTGTGAAATAAGATCCATGGATTAGGTAAACAATTTATCGGTTATAGAAAATTTGTATTCTTGGTGTGATAACTGAGAAAAATTGATTCCTTGACTCACCGACTGAGCTACGCCCATTAACCATTGGTCGATTGGATCGAACCAGGGCCAATCTGATTGGCTTAACCAAGGCCCTCGTTCAAACTGTGATTGGCAGAATACGTTATTGACGGTAATAAATCGTCCCAATGGCACGGTTTCGCCCAACTGAACGCATGCCTTGAAGGTGGGTCTAAGGTAATATTTCAGATGACCTATTTGACATCAGCGAAGAGCTGTTGAGCCATTACCTCTAATTTCACAAAGTCAAAATTGTGTGCAGTTATTGACGCAGGAATTCACCCAACCTTACCTAAATCCCTCTAGTCTTCTCTCAGTCCGTGTTGAAACATTAAATATCAGGTTGTTTTTTTTTATAAAAAAGTAGACAACACATCCTGCTTTCTAACCAAAACTAACTTCTTAGACTGAGTTAGAATATCAAACTAAGGGCTTTTCAGGCTGGTGAAAAAGTCGAGTATCCCATGCCTCGCAGCACCGCATTAATGTTGCATTATCCTCGTTTTTTTTCAGGTAACAAAAACGCTTAGATTGCATCTCTTTTAGGGGTAAGCGTCCCTGTTATTCACTTTTTTGTTCGTGTTCGTGATTTCGATTGCTGCTATTAGCATCTTCGAGCAAAACTAAACCACTAAAACTTGAAGTAAGGCTAATTAAAATGCTAAATTCGATTATTTATCGTTTGGCAATTAAAAATGACGCTGTCTTGATGATGGTGATGATGCAGCAGAGATAATGACGAGGCTGGAAGAAGAGTCACGTATGGGGAGGTTGGGGTGAAATTAGAGCAAAACAATTTACGCCGCAGCCATTGGCTGATTTTGTCAGAATTGATGAAAATTTTGAAAGTGAGGTTACTCCCGAGTGGCTACCATAAGGTCAGTGTGTAGGTTCAAAAGCCAACGATTCGAAATCTCAGAAAAGGTTAAAGACGGACGTTTGGCAAAAGGGTTTGATCCCAAACTAGTGACTTCAAATAGTGAATGACGTCTGTCAAATGTCAGATGAAAAAACTTACAGTTGACAGAACGTATTTAAAACAACCCAGAAGCCAGTCATCAGTGGAAACTGATATTACTCTCAACTTGTTAAATTGAAACCGCCAAATCCCTCATTCTCTTGTATTTTCAGCCTGCCAATCAAAATGCTTCAACAAAAACAAAAAACAAAGGTGACTGTCACTAAAGAGAAGCAATGCTGTCAATCGGGGTGCAAGAAGATTTGTTGGGATGCGTGCTCAATTGCCTTTGCCCTACCTTTTATAACTTCTAATTTTGGATCTGTGGGCATTCGTGAAGTGGTTTAGGCGAAAATTTGTCTAATGCGATTACGTTTGCAGGGTAGAGAGTCTGACCGAATAACTCCAGCCCGACGTAATCTAAATAACTGTTGATGAGGCGTCTTGCGCACGGCACAGCGTATCTCAAAGAGGCGCAAGGAAGCCTGTAGCGGATTAACAGCGATCGCGCCTAAGTGAACCCTGGTTACCGACCTGACGGTGACAATGATTCATCCCCTTTTCATTGGTTACTGCTATCAGGAGCCTGTCATCCGTTCACTCATCCACACACTTGGCTGGCAAGACTCTAATAAACAGTCGTGTTCTCTGTCGCCTCTCTTCACTCCATTCTCGGGTTGCTACGGTCTGTTAACTAGAGGGTTGTAAGGCAGTGCTTAGACCACAAACCACTACAAGCATGTGTGAGCGTGGAAACGACACCACGGCACTCACGTCAAGACTGCACTGATGCAGCAGTTTGCCAGGAACGCGTTCACCGTCGACTGATACCGCCTGTCGCAGCCACCGCTTCCGCTTGCTCTGTTGCTGCTGCTGCTGATCAGCTGGGGTCTTGTGTGGGTTCGCGGTGTCCGGCTCATCCTCGTGTAGAGGCTCGATCACCTCGTCCCCCTTGACAGTGGTGTCGTCGTCATGGATGAAGGTGGCCTTAATCGAGTCCTCAAAGCAGGGTTTCTGGTGAGCTTTGCGTTGGTCCCTTGGATACGACGGCTGTCCACGATCTGCAATTAAGAGAGGTCTTGTCAAGATAATAATAATGGCGTTAGCACCGCCTACGTGCCAGAAATCGTGTATTACATGGGTGATTTACCGAGCCTTAGGTTGTTTAAAACACTACGAAACCCTGGGTTTTACAAGGTTTACTAGTTTGCCCTCAGTCGAGAATTGTTCACAGAAATGCGGCTGCAAAACCGTGCGTAAATGGCAAGTGGCATACACAACGGCTTCAGACCACAAAATCGGGCGAATGCGATTGGTCGGACAGGCAGTGAGATTTACGGGAATGCAGGAATTCCGCGGTATCATGCAGGCTACCAGTCTGCGGTAGATGGAAGGAACATGAGTGTGTTGTATGGAAGAATCCACCCGTAGAATGAGAGTTTTCGGTAAATTAGTGTTAACCTAACTCCCCTGAAAACCAAGTCTGAAGCGTTAAGAATACTCCGTGAGTTGTCCGACTTGCTGGTTCTGCTTTTTTGGAGTGTGGCAAAAAACACACCAAGTAAACTGTAGAAGAAAACCTCTTCTTAAGGTGGGATTAGCACAGAAGCCCCTCCTCAGAAAGCAATAAATCAGTTCACCGCGAAATTGGCTTTTGCCGGTGGCGACAGCAGCAGCAGCTACGATTTAAAAAGGCGGCTTTGTGCAGACTAAAACAAGTGCAATCAAACAAAATGCTTGTGAGTCGAACTTGGGAATGACGCCTACTTTTACCGTTGTGGTGTTGGGGCAACTCATACCCACACGATCGCCAGCAGACAGCAAATACAAGTATTACAGCATTACTTTCAATTGTGGCGGGCAGTCGATGAGGATTTCTGTGGAAAATTATAGATTGAGTTCAGTGCCTGTACTTTTTTGACTTAATGGTTTTCCTCACGTGTGAGTACAACAAACTTGCGGAAGTGAACTCAAGTCTGTGCGATTACACTCAGGTCAAATGTAGGCCGCAACCTTAACCGCGGTTGAGCGTTAGTACGTAGCAGGACACAAACTCGATGTTTGCCGTCAATTCCATGCTTTCCACAAGAAACGCCTTACGCGTGTACAACCTCAGTTTCTTGATAAACGTTGTGTGCATTTCAAGTGTGGATTTGACGAAGCTATTAATATTTAATTAATTTTAGTACCTAGTTGTTCATTTCACCAAACCACTAAAGGGGAATAATTGTGTTTACTAATAAGACGAATAAATCGGTAGACATTCAGAAACATTGGCATGAAAACGCAAACCGAAGGTTTTGAAGTCGTAAGCGCCATCGTGTAAAAAGCGGCAAAGCATTGCACGACAATCATGCGTGTCAAGCTCACACAACTTAATGGCTGAATTAATTAACGAGGTAATTAAAACAAGCTGCAGTGATCCAGGATGAGGCGTCTCGCGATTTCATTGGACGCGGGATTTATCCGACATTTCGAATTGCCCATAACAACCCAGACTGCGTAGGCTGTTGCAAAAGGAATTTGGCAACAAAAGACAAAATGAAGAGTATTCATGGATGGAAAAACAGCTAAGAAGCCCGCATATCAGGAAAGCCTGTAAATGACACTTTTCTTGAAAATGCATCACATCTTACTCAAATTACTTCACAAAGTCTGCTCTGGACGAGATGGTTGCTAGTGGTAAAGGCAGTTGAAAAAATTGATAGTTTATTTTACCGACGAAAATGAAAATCACCACAGACCCTACATTAACCTTGGTACCTTAATGCTGGAGAGGGTAAATCGCGCACAATTTTGCGTAAGCTGTACTTTTAGCATATTTTGCTGCAATTAATTATATTTGCAAATGGGAGATTTATGGTAATGCAAAAAGTACCATTCTCGCACAGGTATCTAAATAATTGATTTTTAGCTGCCAATTGGACTGTTTTGAAAATAACAAGCGGCAGATATCTTTGACCATTTAAAACCTCTTTAAGAGAGGGAAGTCTTAAGGGCAGATTTCTTAAAAAAATTGAATTAGGTAATTTAGAATTATTTGATATGCAGTGACTGGCTCATAATTTTTGTGGAACACCTCTCATCAGGTAGCACAAGCTGTCGTAAAAATCCATTTTTTCGCCACACTAGAACTCGCCTGATTGGTCTGACCAAAAAGATGAAGGAAAAATTAGATAGGTGGCAAGACGTGTAGATAAGAAAGCAGTTGAAAAAGATCAGCTGAAATTAACCGCATTTTTTTCTTAAATATGCAAATGGTAGTTTGATTAAAATTGGACAAGTAGGAATGCAGCTCTACGCAACAATGAAACATAAAATTCATGCTTGCACCACAAAACACCTAGATCAAAATTTGTAATATTTTCACATCTGCTTGATTAAAACTTTTAATTTACGCACTTTTAAATAAAACCAATTTTTGGTCGTAATTGAACTTGTCCTAAAATTAGAGCAAATGACATAATTTTTACCACGTGACAAATAATAAGTTGTAAGGTAGTATATACTGACAAAAGATACCTTTTTAAAAAATTAAAAAAGCGTCAACATCAACGTGAAGACAGAGTTTTTCTAACAGGTTTCGTTTAACGGTGTTGAAGGATTTTGGCAGGTACACAAACAAATCTAGGTTTCAAATTTCAGTGCAAGTCAAGATTCGTTAAAGCCATGGCAGTTTTAGTGTAGTGCGCTGAAGTCACAATCAATGCATTATTAAAATTCATTTAATAGTTCCAACTGTCAAAATATACACATTTCAAATCTATAAGCATATTCGGATTCAGATGACTTTACACTCCAAAAAGTAGCAATAACGGGTTCTTTTACAAAGGTTGTCACATAGTTGAATCTTGATATAAAGCAGAGTAAGAGTAAAAAAAGAGATTAAAAAGGCTTGCTTCACTTCACAAAATAGACAAATTCGAGTGAGTGAGCACAACATATCTTTAGCTCAAGAAAAAAAAGATTGCTAGGGTTATTAGCTAGAGACAAGACCACATTGTTATAAAAAATTGTTAGGTAATTCAGAAGTCAAATATCTAAAAGCTCAGGAAAACCAGGACAACATTTATCTAAAGGAATCTGTGAAACTGAGCAACAAGTGCAAAAAAAACAAACATCTTGCACAAATAATACAGGAAATCCTATTAAGAATTAAAAATGCGTATGTGGAAAAGGAACAAGTAAACAAAGTTTGACAATTAAACATTATAACTTTAAATTGAATGACTTAAAATTAAGAGACGTAACGCACAAAGAAGCAGTAATGTATCATATGCATAAGGCAACTCACTTTTAATTGCTGTTTTTCTTAGAATACTTTTTTCAGGTAGATGCTTTATCTCTTCCATGGCAAAATCATTCACCTATGTGATATCGTGGATTTAATTATGTGGTGAACAATAGACTTGAAGCAAAAACGCTTTGGAAAATATAAACAAACAGTTAAGGTTGACTATAGAATAACTTTTTAACGTAAAAACACATTTTTCCGTAAATATTTTTATAAAATATTGCTATGCTTAATGTTTTTTATTGAAAAGCTTCTTCTATGCATCTTCAAGTAATTTCACAAACTAGGTTTTTATCAAATGTGCATATATATGCTGTTATGCATTTTCGCTTATCTTTATGCAACTATGTGATAAAATGGCAGTTTGGTTTCAATGTCCCTTTGGTAAAGATGTTATTTAACATATTTACACGTAAGTGATTTTAACTTACCATAATAACGGAGTTTTGTGGAATTCACTTTTGCGAGAACGATAAATTATAGCATCTTGTAGCAAAGCGGCGTCACACAAATAATCAATCTTGCTTATTAAAACTTCAACTTAAAATAAAACCACATTATGCAGTTAAGCATTTTGTTAATTTTCCAATAACTAGCGTTAAATTATTGTATTTACACAACCGATGAATCAAGGCACGGTTTTTCTGCCTCCACACCAATTCTTTTACATTTAAAGAATTAAAAATTCTTAAAAAATGATTAAGAGCTGTATAAAGGAAGCATCTACCTTGTGCATTAGAAACATCTTAGATCTAAGTCCAAATAGACCGAATTTGTACCTTTGTGGCGAGCAGCAAGCATACAGAGTTAGCAGTCCTGATCAAACGCATTGTTAATGCGTGAGCAAACAAGTTTTAATCGATTTCCGTGATTTCAACTTTGCGCCTTCAGAGATCTGTGCATAGCGAAGCTATATAAACGCGCTGGTTATCATGTACAACAACATTCGGCTATTGCATCAACAAATTAGTTGACCTGCGCGCCATCAGCATTTGACTCTTTTTTTGGTTGGGCTTTCTCAGTGTAGATTTTCGACCCTGATGTGGTTCTCCAAAACCGCACAAGGGTCCTCTACACCTAAAGCTAGAACTCTCACCTGTATTATATTTTGTACCAAGTATTCCGAGTTACGATTTTCTTTCCGACGTGCGAAATGTGTGCTTGTTTTGGAAAACGTTTTATTCGCTTTATGCTGCATATTTTGGCAAAGAGCATTAAAAATTTGGAAAAAGCAGTAAATTCCTTTTCCCCAGCCCACAATTTTCTGCATCGAATTTCTTAATTATTACCCAATGAATATGAGTCAATTGTTGCAAAGCCCTCGTTTTGAATTTACATCACTTTGTAATCCATCGGAATGCAGCGAAAAAAATACGTAAGACAAGGGAATTAAATCACGGTTCTTTAACATGTCGTGAAATGAACAAATACTGTGCGCTTACTGTGAATGCCAGATGTTAAGTACATATTTACATTAAGGCTATTGTTGGTTGTCAAAAATAGCATATTTCATACCAGTTTTAAATTTTATATTTAAAATTAAGTAAAAAGCCAGCCACATGTAACGATAATTTGATAATATATAAATCTATGGGTTTGAACACATACGTTTATTTCCTGATCCTTAATTAGGCTTATATCCGTGGGTGTATATGCCACCACCTGACTGTTTGACTACCAGGTTTATGATAAAAAATCATGAAAAATGGGATGAATTTTACCCTACTGCATACAAATGCAAAGCGGCTAGAGCTTTGGAAGAGAGTAAGAGCAAGAAGATGAGGGGAATGGCCTTAGGGATGGTCGGCCCTGCACTCAAGCCTACGGTCGTGCATTGAGGAAGTGGGACAGAGGCAAGAAAAAAAAGGACGAGAAACAGGCCAGACCACCGTATTTGGGCTGTATAGTGGGTGTCACAGCAAATACATTTAGTTGTTGGGACAGACACAGCCATCACACAGATTGAAAATTATTTTTTTCCAGTTGCATGATGAAAATATATCTAGAAGACAAAGTTGAGTAATTAAACAACGTCAGTTCAGCCTGATTATTTCTAAATTTACATATTTTGCATCAATCTAAATGAGCTCTTTGGGGAACAATGAACTTGTTTGTCTTAAATTTCGTCTCGAAAAGCTGTGCAATTAACCTGGACGCTCAATGCCTACGTAATTAGCCTTGGTGAAATCACAAAAATGATCATTCGTGTTCAGTCTGAAGATGGAACAAAGCGCATTAATGTATCTGAGTCAGATACCGTAATAAAACTCTTTGAACTTGCTGCTGATGCTTTTAAGTTAGACCTGAATTCAGACTGGTTGCTCTCCAAGTCCCGAAACTCTACCGATGCATTGAGGCGCAGCACGCGAGGCCATATCAAATCAACAAAATTAAAGTAAGATATTTTAAATAATTTTAAATGAATTACTATTACTTGCTTAACTTTGGCTACTTTGGATGATAGGATCTCAGTAATTCTAGGGCAATTTTTTTGTTGAGTAGGACTTCTTCCCAATTTAATGGGCTCGAGTTCGCAAGTTTTATAATTTAACATAGTGGATCCTTCTTCACAATGCTGTTTGTGTATGTTTCATTTGACTGAAAGTAAAAATGAATGCAGCTCCTTACATGCTTTAATTTTTGAATTCTAAAACAAATGGTGCTATTGTGGCTTTCTGGTATCTCACTTGTGTAATTTGTTAATTTTTTTTCCATAGAAACGGGGACATGCTCTATGTTATCAAGCAGTCCAGTTCTTCACAGACACGGACAACTGATCAGGTATTGCCACAATGTTTGTCAACCATTGCGCGCAGTAATCTAGAATAACCTTGCACGTTTTACTTAGGAGCTTCAGCCAAACTCGACGCCGACACAGGGTATTACAACGGTCGCCATTAAAGAAGATGAAGTCGATTCAATTATTGACGCAATGGATGGCCGGATAACGCGTCCAAAAAGTCATTTGTAAGCACTGTTTCTTCTTGTACTACCTCATCATAATTTTGTGAAGAATAGTGCCAAAAGCATTGTTAATTTTCGTAACTCATCACCTTGTTCAGTTGATGCCTGTTAGAAGCGTTTTGCAATGTACACGAGTTCAATTTTAAAGCCAACTATTAAGGTGTTTATATTCCGCACGGTTTTAGGCAGAATGAATAACTAAATAATGCGGTTCCACAAATTCTTGCGCTCTCCTTTTAAAAGAATTTTGCTTTCCTGCATTTCTGTTTTCAGATGCCACCACTCGGATTCCGGTATCTGCGTTCACTGTGTTCCTTTAGAGGTAAATGCACACTTTGCCTTTTTCTTTCGAGTTTTTTTATATAATGAGAACGCAACGGCGACATTTAAAATGAATAATTTGTGTGCATCGTAGCTAGGCAGATGTCTAAGTAACTATTTCATTTCTTCTAAGTGCTTTCTAAACAAAAGTCCTCTTGATCACACAGTTTAATAGGTAGTTGGCATTTATCCACCCACATTGGTGCCACCACGCTAGTAGTCTATTTACATTTAAAATCCACTTCCGTATTCGAAATTTGGTGGAAGCTGGGCAGGTAGGGGAACTGTTTTTATCTTTTAGCCTTCTGATCCTGACTACCTGAGTCTTTGTGATCCGCCAGTGAAGTTTATGTCCTTTCACGCCTACCTTCGTAAGCTGAGAGGTGGTCAGAGCAAGTGAGTTTCTGCGGGGATTTCTTGTTTCGTGGGGTTTTGGAGATAACCTGTTTTTCACACCCGTTCACACACACACACGAGCCCTTAGCTTCTTAAGTTCCTTCCACATAAGTCACACTGCTTGCATTTTTTGCGCCGACTTTAGCAAGGTCAAACTAATCACCAGACATCCATATTGGAAGGATTTGAATCGACACGAGGGGGTTTACACAGCTTTTAACCAAAAGTCACACGCCATCACTAATCTCTGTGGTAAAAAATCACAGAATTTGAACGATGACTCAGTCAACAATCCGTTATCACCCACTGCTATCGACTCGGATTCTTGAAAGCCCTTTCAAACTTCATGATTGGTGGTCAAACATTTGTTGAAGTGGATCCTTAATCTGGGAAATCTGAACGTGCGTCTTTTTACCCGTAACCCTATTTTCTTGTTTGTTCACACTCATCCGAGTGTTTTCGACCCAGTCAGATTAAAAGACAATTTATCAAAAGACGTGTAAAGTATTTCAGCTTCCCATCTTCGCTGTGTCCTCTGCCGTCAAAGCACATACCACTTTCTCGATGTCATTTTTACACTTCTCGGAAATCGTGGTGACTTTTTTAAACTAAATCTGATGGTGTTAAACGTGCTGACACTATTTGAATATAGAATATGTAAATCCACAATTCTAATCGTTATAATTTTTTAACCATTTCTAGGGTTGGGGCCGCTCCGCGTTAGCTCTGAAGCTTTAGGGCTATCAATTAAGAAATCGCGCAGAAGTATTAATTTGCACTGCTTGTGTGTTTCAGAGGAAAGTTTGTCCGGCTGGAGAACTTGAATTGCACCGTTCGCAGTGACTGTCCCGATCACCCACCATGGCCGAACGGCATCTGCACAAAATGCCAACCGAAACCCGTCACCCTGGACGTCCAGCCCTACCGCCACGTGGATTACGTGCAATTTGAGAATGCTGAGATGATGGAGACCTTCTTGGACTACTGGAGGCAGACGGGAAAACAGAGGATTGGCGTGCTCCTGGGGCAGTACGCGCCATTCGACACGCCCGGCGCCCCTCCGCTCGCCATCAAAGCCGTCGTCTCGGCCATTTACGAGCCCGCCCAGGTGCGTGATTTCGGCTTGTGTCAACGGTTTTGTATGCTGATGTTAAATTTCCACTGTCGTGAATACACACACTGGTCCAACGGATCCAGTTTGAGGCATAGAAGGCCAACATCGCTCCCGCTAGTTAGTTTGTGAAAACTTAATAACGGAGTTTGTATGTAGACAAGTCAATTGAGGTGTGTACATGGGCAGACCAAGCAAGATTTCCACCTAAGCGTGTTTGACGTTGATGTTTTTTTTGTGGTTCTGCCACCTAGGAAGGCACAAGTCGCTCGGTGAAGTTAACTTGTCCCCTGGACGAGATGCTGCCACCCGCTGTTAAGGCCACGGCTGCGGCGCTGGATCTGAAGGCTGTCGGCTGGATTTTCACCGATCTCACCGCCGAGGGCAGCGAAAGCAAGGGAACCGTGAGGCATTATCGCGGCGACATGGTACGACTCGCTTGTGCCGTTTACTCATGCGCTCTTATTGGTCCAGGCCAATGTTGACTTGTAATGATAGGTCACACATTTGATAATGGCAGCTCTGCTGTCGATTTGGAGCACGCTTTGTCGAACACTAACGCAACACCAAGGCCGGGAGTCGGTGTGTGATGTGATTTGAGATGTTTTTTTCTGTAGGAAACCTTCTTCATGAGTGCCCAGGAGTGCATTACTGCAGCGCGCCTTCAGAACCTCCATCCCAATCCGTCGCGTGACAGTCCAGATGGTCACTTTGGCTCCAAGTTTGTCACGGTTGTCGTGACTGGCGGCAAAAACCATGAAATCCACTTTGAGGCCTACCAGGTCTCCAATGTCGCCATGGCTCTCGAATCTGCTGGCATCCTCGTCCCCACCTACGATGCACCGGAGTTGGGCTACATCCGCGAATCCACCAAGGACCAGTTCGTTCCTGACGTCTTCTACTCCGTAAGTTGGCGGCGTCGTATTTTGTGCTAGAACGCTTCCGAGGGAGATTTGCTGTCAGGGCGATGTGACAAGCTGAGGGCACGAAGTAGTGCCTTGGACGTGTTAGGTCAAAGTGAGACGTAAAATCTGAAACAGGTCACTCGGTATGTTCCCGTCCGCACCAACATTCTCTGCTGGCGCAAACAAATGCCTTGTTTATGTTTGAATAGGTAGTACTGTGAAATGGGCTAGCCGTTCTGGGTAAATAAGTCCTTTTTTCGTCAACATCGACTTGTGCAAAGCCTGTTCCATTCAAGTTGCCTGTGTTCATCCAGATCTGTGTAGACGCGGGTGCTTATTACCGAACCCCTGTGCTTAGGCTATTATTTGTGTTCTTTTTTTTCAGTCGAAGGACAAGTACGGCAACACGGTGACAAAGATCGGTCGTCCTCTACCCGTGGAATACCTCCTCGTCGATATGCCAGCCGCCTTCCCCGTTGAACAGACCTTCACGTTCGCCGAGCAGTCCATCTACCGCGTCTCGCCACACGACAAGTTTCCGGTGGAGAACCGCGAGGATCTTGGACAAAAACAGGTGCGACCCAACAGGGCAGCGTAGAGCCCGGCTTATAAAATAGACATCCCATAGAGTTGCACTAGTGTCCCTTGGCTTGTAACAATTTGCTGCAAAACCAACCTATAAGTATTGCTATGAAGTTTTTTTTTAGCTTAAACTTGTGACCCCCAATCCAACCTCCAATGGTCTTCGTAGTTAACTTTGTTATCTTCCCCCCACCGCAGAGCATCGAAGCGTTTTCGCGTCATTTTGCTGCGTTCGGCCGCGAGCGCGTCTACGGTTGCCTGTCGAACTTCCACGTTCTCGCGTGGCTAGCCGGACAAGTGAATGACCTCCCTCTTGACCAGGAGAGCTTCGACAGTCTTCTGGAGACCCTGCGCACGGGGAAACAGGTCGACGAGTGGGCTGCCAACTGCCCGGGTTGGGCCAGTCTTGAACTAATCGTCAAAACGATGGCTGGAGGTGAGTGGCCCAGTTCCATGCCTTTCTGTACTGCACAATTCTTCGGGGCCAACACATGTAGTGACGCGCATCCAGCGCCAGTAGCCAAAGTGGTCTGAGAGGCTACGAAATTTCTTCGGTATATTTTGAGATGTCGAGTTGCCGACATTTTGAAAAGTCTGTTTTACTTCAGCCGGCAGCCCGCCCAGTTCGCCAATGGAAACGGGTAACGAGAAGTCAAGAGGATCCAAGGAGCACTCCACTGGCAGGAGCAGCAGCGGTTTGCCTCGTCCGCCCTCGTTCCGCGATGTTGTCATCGGTCCCTCGCCTTCTGTGTCTTCGGAGCCAGGGCAATACTGGGCGTGCCAGCACTGCACCCTCCACAACCGCCTTGACCAGAGTGAATGCGAGATGTGCGGCCTGCCTCGATCAGCGTAGAGTCAGTCGCACAGCGGCACACCACCGCACCTCACTCCATTGTTTATCCCCTTTTCTTATGCACTTTAGTTTAAAATGTACGATCGCCTCATAAAACCTATCATGCTCTTTGCGTTTTGAGGAAAGTTAAGTACCGCCCGTTTTGAGCTGCGATTCCCTGGTACTGGCTACCTTGTCATGCCCAAGATAAACGATTATCATTCAGAGATCGATCTTTAGCAGACTATCACGAGCTGTAAACCTTCTTGACTTAAAGTGGGAGGAAGACGTCTGATTCAACTTTTCGTTAATCGAGAATGCAAAGCACAAGTGTTTGTATGGGCTGTATTTGCGATTGTTTGGGCGCAGTGCAACATGGTGAACATCACCACGTGTCAGCACTAAGAAAGTAAACGAGGGTGGCCTTCACCGGCTTTGTAGGTCAACAGGCATGTGTCCGTCATCACCAACACGCAGAGCTTGAACCGTACACGTAGGGGGTTCATCCGCGTCCCCCTGAGTTTGCTCTATAAGCAATTCCGTAATGCTACCATGGGGGAGGGAAATCCGGAGCCAGGCCTCCGGAGGAAGCTGAAGTGCTTTACACAACCAATAGCGGAACACGTTTGCGTGACCAACGAACAGGATAACTTCCAGTGGTCGATCCTGCATTGCTCGTGAGCAGAGGCAATTTGGCTGTGTGCATTGCACACAGCTTGCAGGTCCGCCCAGGGCGCGCTTACCGGCGTCAGAAATCGGCCTCCTGTGTATGAGGTAAACAAAACTGGAGCCAACTCTATTCTGATGATCCACCCTATCCGCTTTGTCTTCGAGACTTAGATTTTTCAAGTGCTTAATTCTTGAAGCTGCACAGACGAAAGCAAGAAAGTCAAAACCAGTGGAGCGTCACCTCCGATTCTCCTATAAACGCTGCTTAGATTACCTGGGCTAGGTTCCGGTTCAGTGGGGGGTGGGCCCTCTGCCATTAAACTGGACTCAAGTAAGGGCAAGGTCATCGACTTCAAAGGAGATTTTCGGAGGTCGACACAGTCTTTAGGCCCGGGAAGAGGGGGATTTGCAGTTATCTCCAGGATTCCAGTGTCAGCCAGTTGCATCTGATCAAGCTCAGACAGTATACCTGCAGTTGTTTGCCTGGCTCTTATCATATCAGAATGTACAATACAATCGATGCTACAAAAGAGCGTTGAGGCAATATTGCAAACGTGGACGATTTACTTATATCCAAGCGCTCGCAACCTTTTGCCAGTTGCCCGAGCCTGTTTCCACCCCAGATCCGTAAGAACTTTTTTGTTGGATGTCAGAGCTTCTGTTTCATACTGACCGTGTCGAACTAAGATGAGTAATTTGTAACAACTTCCAACTTGGGGTTTCGGTGAATCGTTGGCTACAAAATTAAAAAAATGAGATTAATGAAAAATGAAAAAATGCGACAAGGAAGTGTAAATTATCGATGATACAGTTAGCTAGATCCCAGTTATGATCCCAAGACGTTAACTTTTTGAGGCTCTTTACACCATTTTTACTGTCATCATTCACTTTCTGACGATACGAGTGGTATCCCAGAAATGAAGACACAGACGCTGATAAGAGGAGAGATCCACTACAGAAAACACGGCCGAAACGCATTAGATCGGAAATGTGCTTACGGGTTTTCTGACAACATAAGCTAGATAGCCCACAACGTAAGCAGTTTGTCTTAACGCTTGGCCAAACTAAGAATTTAAACTAGCATTGTTGCTGTCTTTTGTAATAATTATTTTAAAGTTAGCCATGATTGTAAGCAAACTGAAAGCTATAGATTATTTAACTAAAGACATGTTAAAAATCTTATAATTATGGCATAGGAAATGCAATTTCTCTGAGAATTACTCTCGAAAAGCAGTTTTAACAGAGGTTTCTAGTGTATGCACACAGTTCAAACAATTTTTTTACAGAAAAACAAACACTTTTTTAAACATTTTAATTTATTTTTTGCTTTCCTGCGTGTGTGTATCCTCTCAGCTCTATAAAAAAATGTACTAAAACGGCAGAGCTAATGTCTTCTGTCTGCGGATTCACCACACGAAATGCATCTGGATAAGATGCTGTGAAGCTTGGTGGACACAGACTTTTTTGATGTTCTGGTCACTAATGAAGCCATTTAGTTTCATCCAACTTGCCGACTAAGGCCATGTCGGAGAAGTGTTTGAGGATGTGACGAATATGCAAATGCCTCATATTGAAATATTCTGACAATATGCGATTCACTTACCGTCGACACAATTGTCGACTAACTCAAGTTGTGAGCGAAAATATTTCTTACTCAGAAATCTGAGTTAACTGCTTTCGTCGTAGACTGAAAGTCGGTTTCGTGTCCATAGGAATTGGAGATTCTTTTTGGTATATAATAGACCCCTCTCAAATTCATGCTGATAGAAAAGCAGTTATGGCACAAGCAACGCCTAACCGGAAGCCCTGGAAACAATGCAACGCTCCCCGAACTCAAAGATTGTGATTGAAATGCCATACTTGTTAAAATAATTGCTTTATTTACCCCATAAATATATATAACGAAGTGATTGAATATCCCTTTTTCACACGGTTTTACCATCGGCACAATGGTGAGAGTGCGTAAGAAATAATTGGACCTTCTGAGATGACTGCAAACAGTTTGTTAAATAATATAATACACACAGGAAAAGACGGCGCCAACATGCCATTTGCTACGGACGAGGTTGAGCACGAGACTGGCGCATGGGAACTTCGGAGGATGACGGCGGAGGGGAATAGTGCAGGTGCCTGACACGTTGCTGTGCCAGGAAAGAGGACGGTGTGGAAAGGGTCTGCGGGTCCCCAAGCCGCTGGTAAAGCCGGGCCTCAGTGTTCGCCCTATTCATCCGCATTCCGAGGTGGTACCATGCGGTGAGAACCATCCGCTCCTCAAGGTCGCGCTGACGTCTGGCTTGCTCGTGGTGCCGCTTTATAAACAGATAGACACGGCCTTTGAATCCAAGCAATAAGGATCCTGCAACGGTCCCTCAATAAGCTGCACTCAGGTTCAGTGGGAGTAACTGCAGCATTTCTACGCACCCTTTCGATTAAACCAGAGCAAACTTCCTCAATGACCATCTACTCAATACTTCAATAAGTAGGATGCGTACCGAATTTAACATTTTTGCCATGCAACCTCGTTGATTTATACACAATTTTATTGGAGAGTAGTCGAAGGATCCGGGATAAATTGGAAGAGTCTTCAAGGCGAAGAATCCAGTTCACGGAAGACGTAAAACAAGTAACTCACCTCCAGTTGTTCGATAATATTCTCCTTTTCGACAAGCAGGGCTTGCAGACGAGTGATTTCAGCGTCTGGTGGTTGCTGTTGTTCGCCGCTCTGGGCCGCGGCAGTTTCCGCCGCCACGGCTCGTCGATCTAACTGTCGGATTACCTGAAAAAGACGAGCTAATGAATTATTAGTAGTAGTCATTTTTGCATAGATATTTTAACGACATCAAAGAGGGATTAAGAGATAAAGCTGAACAAAAATGAGCCAACATTACAAGCCAAAGCAGTTAATAATGATTATGAAAAAAAAACAAACCTCTAGAGCTTTAGCTAAGTAGCCTCGGTAGAGTTGTTCCACCTCGTAGACAGTATCGTTTTTGAGTTCCAGATGCCTAGAAAATGGTAACAAATTTGCACTTTTAATATAGACACAAACGAAAGAGGCGCTTAGATTTGGCGCTGCGCATACACCTCGCAAAACTGGCGCTACAAACAAAATAACGCGTAACTCTTTGAAAATACGATGAGATTTAACCAAGGGGAATTCGCTGGCACGCTTTCGTCTACTCATTTCGGACCAACCACAAACTAAGCACGATAGAAATCGAATTCAAGGCCAGAGTGGAAAGTGCACTAAATGACCTTTGAACAAACGAAGTGCGGGCGCAATTTGACAACTACAACCTTGTGCCTAGCGATGTGCCCACACATGTGACCTTGTCCTGACCAATGAGCACTTGGTAGCCTCCTGATTGGTTGAAACAAAAATTAAAAAAAAGTCGCAGTGGCTCGGATGTGGTTTGATTCAGTTTATGCACTGTGCAAAACATGCTAAAAAGTGGCGAAAGACGATTTACCCGTTTCGCTCTGCCGATTTAGGAGACGAATGCAGATGTGACTGGAGGTTCACCAGACAGTCACCAGTCTCTACAACGACATCGGGTTCAGTTTGGGAGTTGTTAGAAGGTAATCAGAGTTCAAGTACGCAAAAGCGCTTACCCAATTCTGGAGGCGTGAGTTCCTTTTCATTGCTGTCTCTGAGCCGCTTCAGTTCCGCAAAAAGGGTCTAGAGGAAACACAAAATAGGGCGTTTGCGAACTGGCATTGGTGAAAAGTAGGGGGAACACGCAAAGCTTACATCCTTCTCCCTCAGAGCCACCAGCAGGTCCGCCTTGGTCTTCTTCAGCTCATCTTCCATCTGCAGGGCGCGAAGTTCCAGCTCTGAGGCCCGAGAACTGGCCTCAGCTGATTGGTTTCGAGTCGCCTCGGCTTGCACACGAAGGCTCGAATTCAGTCTGTTCTCCTGAAAGGTGTGAAAAAAAAACCAAAATTGATTCACACTCATCAACTCTGCCCGTCTGCCCAACCACCACTGTACATGCACCTATGTAGTGGCTTGTGGTCTAAGCACTACCTTACAACCCTCTTGGTTAACAGCCCGTAACAACCCGAGAATGGAGTGAAGAGAGGCGACAGAGGACACGACCGTTTATTGGCGTCACGCCAACCAGGTGTGTGGATGAGTGAGCGAATGACAGGCTTCTGATAGCAGTAACCAATGAAAAGGGGATGAGTCATTGTCTCAGTGGGGTCAGTAACCAGGGTTCACTCAGGCGCGATTGCTGCTCATTCCGTTCATCTGGCTAGTCAGTCGTTTGTACGGCTTCAAGTCCACGCCCACTGTAGGGGTCCGCAACCAAATTAACCATGCACGACATAGAACACACACGCGACCGCACACGACACATCCTGAATGAGAAAACAAACAAACGGATGTTTCTTCACTACCTCAGGTCTTCTTGTGATCTTCCCAGACATCAGTGTGGCGTTGTGGAGCAAACACAACGCAGAGGCTCTGCTGTGGCTCAAGGCCTACTTGCCGAGGCATTCAACAGATCCTGGTCAGGTGTTAATTTACATTGGTAATCTAGCTATCGACCAATCCAGTCCGTTCGAACTTGTTTCCTGCGTTCTCATTGGTTACATGGGAAAAAGACTTAGCACGAAGTCGTCTGCGCACACAGCTGAAATCACTTCCCAGGCTTAGGAATTACTGCCGCACACCACTCTAGATAAAGCAATCAAATTATGTGGCGAAATCGCCCTCCTACGAGGTTAATTAAAACAAAACCAGCGTTACTCATATAACGATTCTGGAAAAAAACCTTTCTGGTGGTGCCAGAGGTTAGAGAGACTTGAGGGGTGAGAAAAAAGCCGAACTAAACTGATTAATTCGTTTCAACAGGAAGAACTGGACAGAGCGAAACCAACCTGTTCGAGCTCGGCCACACGTTTGAGGCAGGCGGCATTGTCGGCTTCGAGTTTGGTGCAGCGAACACGCAGAGCAACGGCCTCATCAGCACGCTTCTTCAATTGGTCAACCGATGCAGCGCGCCTATTGGCTTCTCGCAGCTCCTCCCGCGTTATGTCCAACTCGTCCTTGAAGTGGGCCGCTTCGTCCGCCTGACGTGTCAAAGTGTCACACTGAAAGAAAAAGGCAGCACTGACAAGAGGCGGTAGGTGTTGATTGTGTTGACGAACCACGACCAATAAAGTCACGCAGGTTCGAGTCCGTAAGTGGTTACACCAAGGTTAGAGTCCTACCATTGGTCGGTTATTTTGGCCAATTGCAGCACTCGCTCAGACGGCAAACCATTGGCTGACGGGACGTCTTAAAGTGATTCTTCTAATATTTGGTACAACTAAAAATCCAATCGCACTACACACCTACCTGCACATAAACCCCACGAAGTGGCTCTAGACATGACCTTGGCAGTTCAAGGTGAAAGAGAAAGACAACAAATGCCAAGCAGGCAGGGTGTGAGGAAAGAAATAGCGAGAACAAGAACCCACTGTTTTTCGGAGTTCTTCAATTGTTTTGCGAGCCTCCACAAGGCGCATTTTCGACTCTTGTGCATCTAAAAAGAGACAAACAAGACGGGGAAATGGAACGATAATCCAAGGCAACCGAAGAAGATAGGGAGGATCGCATTCGTTGCTAGGAAACTGAACACCGAGTTGACGGTGTTCCATAGACGAGGTCGGCAAAAAAGACGTCGAAGCTGTTTGCACCTGCGGACAAGCTGTCAGTGGACTACAATGACTTGAAAAAAAAGAACTAGAGGAAGGCGGGTCTCACCTGCTTCGGATTGGAAGAGCTCCTCCTGCAGTGTCCTCAGTTTGTCTTGCAGCTGACGCACTTGAAGGGTTGCTCCAACAGATCCGGGCTCGCCGTCGGCCACACCACCACGACCCTCCTCGAGGAGACTGATCTTGTGGAGCGCCTCCTCCAATTCCGACTCCACCGTCGACTTCTCCGCTTCCAGCTGCACCAACTAGAGCAAGAGTGCAACGCGTATACACACATGCACACAGCCACGCCAGCGGGATGCTAGTACTGAACTACGGAACACACAGAAGCGCGGTTTACGCGGAAACACAACGTCAAAGCGATGGGACTTGAGCGATGAGAATTCATCACCACGGAGTCGCCCTAAATTAGCCTGCTACACCGACCCAGTGCATATTTCTGCTGCCGAAGAGAATGCACATTGAAAACACTCACTGAGACGCCTTTAAAAGGCTTGTTTGTTGGCATAATCAGGAGAAATTAACAAGTGGAGACTGGTGAAGTAGTATAGACTCAAGAATCGACATCCCGTACAAAATGAACTTGACAGGCATCGACTGTACACTGGAGGAAACTGTCATTGTGCTGAAGAGCAAGAACGCACAGCACACCAGGTTCTATTTTTACGGAATTCGAGAAAAAAGTATTTTTCGGACCTTGGAATTCCGCAAAATGCAGTTTTTTGATAGGCTAACGGCAATGACCATTAACCAGTTGGCAAACAAAATTCGATAAGTTGACACAAAACCGAATCTACTAGCCTGGAGTTGAATAAACATTTTAGCCCACCGACAACAAGAAAAAAAACAACTACATGGTCACCGCTCAATCGCCGAAATAAACGAATGCCATAAAGTGCATAAAAAACACAAGATCAGCTGATGTGTGTCCCAATCGCGTTGCATCATGCCACAACGCCAAGGAAGCTGCATACAAAGACATGCAAGCTACTGGCACACCTGTTTACAAATTACATTCCAAATTAACCTCTGTTTTGAAAATCAATTACGTTACAAAAATAGCTATGTTGCAGGATGAATAATGCAGCATACAACCAAGGAACGACTTATTGTTCAAATTCAATTGGCTCATATCAGAGGTGCCGAGGAAAACGTGTTGTCGCCAAGGTCGTTGCCATGTCACAAGCAATAAATGCAGAAGAAACTGGGGGAATGTTTTCTTACCTTACTGAGAAGGGAAGACTCATCTTTTTCTGAAGATTTTTCATTCATCACCTAAAAAGTATGAGGTTTTCGCTGAGAGAATAAAGACTACTGATTCGATGGAGCCAACACGACATAACAAACAAGAAATAACGATAAACACTACGTTATAAGGGCTGTTGTTCGCAGGCAACAGGTGTGAGCGAGAATGTAGCAATTATTAGCTGAAATTTTACCGCAAACTAGATAAGGAAGTAATACTCACGCAGACTTACCGCGCACGCAATCCTCACATGAATGAAGGCAAAAGTCAATTTACTGCAATAAGGCTTTGACCAATCAAGCGGCGCATGTGGCCTGCCACAAGTGCGCCAAAACGCACACGACACCTTACACAACGAGACTCTAGAGGTTGTAGAAGTAGTTTACACCGACACACGTGACTGCTTGCTAATCACCCAAATCGATCTGGAGCATGGATAGCTACACTTCTTATCACTTCAGGCGAAAACGCAAACGCGGGATAAAAAGGGGGGTGGGGCAAATTTTTACCGGTCACATGGCTAACACGAAAGAATGACTGGCCCTAAGAAAAAGCGTTTTTTAGGACCAGGGGGAGGCATTAGCCAAAGAGCGGGACTACAACGATAAGAGGTTTAAGTTGCCGAGGGCAAGATCGGAGCAATTTCAGAACTAACGTACCGGTTACAGACATGAAGGTCTAAGTCAAACATAAAATAGGTAAGTATGCACGTGAGTTGAAGATATAATTCTCCGAGATCAAGACGATTTTAGGGCACACGATTATGACATGCTTTAGCTTCAAAAATAAGTACAGGCATCATACCCGCAGACCACTTAACCGACACACTCGGTGGAAGCTTATATGAAAAAAAAATTCGCAGCCAATTTTCGGAAGTTGGCAAAAGGCAGCAAACAGATGCAACGTATACAAATAAAAAGAAGTCGGAGGATAAAATACCTCCTGTATAGTTTCCATGACAGCCTGTTGTACAGCCTGCTCCATGTTCAAGATTCCTTGGATGTAGAATTCTTTGTTTTCTCCATTGACGGCACAGCAAATTACCAACTGCAGCAGGCGCCGGAGCTCGTTAGTGTCATTCATTTCGGCTGTAGTTAAAAGTTAGGAATAGAGTGACGACACAAAACTAACCAATCAAGGTGACATTGGGAAGCTGGTAAATTGCAAGGGGCTGACCAATAACCTAAGAAAAAGAAGTAAGTTACGAACGCAGCCACAACAATAAACATGGCTAGTCAACGAGACTTACGGTTTCGAAGAATTCTGACATTGCTCCAACAATATGATTTAAATTAAAGCTCTACAACAGATGCAAAGTGAAAACGACATTGACGAAAGTATTCAGCAATCGAGCCACGACTTAAGTGAGGGCAACAAGGATGACTGATGGTGATAAAAATGCAAATGAAAGCTGTTTAAACTAAGGCACCTAACTTGGTGAAAAAAAAACATTTCTTTAAACAAGGGAAAGAAGTGTTTCTACTTTCAATGGAAAAACCGCGATTCTTGAGCATAACAAAATCGCAGGGAATTGACTTCGATGATTACACACTACGTTAATCCTAATGTAACCACGCCTTGGGACATCAATTAAGAACTTGCAAACATACTTTATCCACTGAAGAGATGGAATCACCAGTTTTGATCATTGCGAAACGCGAGTTCGTAAACGCATAAGGCGACCTTTAGAATAAAGTCAGAACTCGTAAACTTACACAGCCATTAGAATTTTAGAAATTATAATACCATCACATAGCTGGTCAGAAGTTACATCAGGGCTAACAAAATCAAATCCCCTGATCTACAAACCAAGTTTAACAGGAAGAAAAACGAACCCATGTCATCAAGTGTTCGAGGGACTCATCGATGTCAAAAATCATAACTCAAAAAGAAACCGAAAAAGACATATGACAGTATCCTGATTGGATAAAATAGCAGAGTAAAAAAGGTTACTGCAGAAAACACCCATTTAAACAAAAGATCAGAGAAAATTGCTAATAATGAGAAAGGAAAAGAAACATTATGCATAAAAATTGCGTTTTTTGGTAAAAACAAAACAAATTAAACTAAAAAAGTAAATAAGGCAAAAAAACTATACAAATCAAGGAAAACAAAACAAATGCAAAATTCAAAAAAGAAACAGGAAAAAATCTCACAAAATAGAACAGCAAAAAGATTAACGAAGTGAGGGAAAATATCGACAATAGCCAGAAAAAAATGAACAACAAAAGGCCAATAAGAGAAAGAAAAAAACTCGAAAAACCGTGGCAGCTGCGAAAATTGGACGCGGACGCGAGTCGAGGTGGTGTGGTGTGGTTTGTGTGGTGCGAGAAGGGTTAGGACGGTTGGGAGTTATGGGCTTGTGAGCGCACATTGCATGGCCACAGGCAGGTATGTACGAGAATGAG